TGAACAGACTATACCTCTTAGGACCCCTCTCCGGTTGGTTTATAAATTTTCCCGGCGGATTCATCATTTATTATTATTGTAATTGTTATTGATGTATTATTATGGAAATTTTTGAATTAGATTTAGACCGATTGTGGTATTTTACTTCTTTTTTGTATTTGTGCCTTTCTGTAGTGAAATAAGAGCACTGGTCTCGCGCACTCTCGCAAACTAAAAATTAAATCGTTACAGTCACCGTTCTTTTCTTAATTGTAAACTTGATGCTAATGCTAAATTAATGTTACTCATTAGCCGACCATCCGTCAATCACACTTTTCACTTTCGGTGATTATGTTAATTTAATAAATAATCATCCTGTTGCCTTCTTCGGAGCTTGGCTGAAACTGGCTCGCATTTGACTCTGTATCTGCTTATATATTGTTTGAGGGAGCTTATATATTTCTATAGACTCTCGGATTTTTTGTTGGTAGAAGAATTGATTACACATCATTACACAACACCACTGACCACATATCAAAACTTTTAAAGAAATATAATGTCAAGACCGGATTTACCACTTGTCCAAAAATCTCTCAACATATTCAATCCGTCAAAGACGAAATTCCATTTGAGATGCCAGGAGTTTACAGCATTCCATGCATATGCAGCAAATAATACATACATAATACTAAGATAAATAAACTCATCACCAGTTGCCGAACTCAATCACGAAACCGGAAATAAAATTCGAGAGTCTATAGAAATCTATAAGCAACCTAACAATATTAAGCGCGACTCAGGTCACCAATAGGGGAATCAGTCATCCGAGATGGTGTTTATGTCCCTCATTTAGCTCCGCCCCCCTGAAACACTATATAAGCAGGTACCGAGTAAAATGCGAGCCAGTTTCAGTCAAGCTCTGAAGAAGCCAACAGGATTGGCGAAACGTTAGCTAGTTCGAGTCAACAAAAATCTAGAAGTGGAATCCAGAAGATTTATAAAAAGTAATTGTGTTAGTAAAATTTTCGTCTATCTTGCTACCTGACTACTTAACATAGGCAACTATTCTCTTCACAAAACCCTTTCTTTTTGATAAAGTTAGATTTGTCAAGAAACGGACATATCACAAAGTCGCAAAAACATAAACTACCAACAAAACAATTCAAAAATCGATCGCAAAAGTATATTTTTTACGGTAAGGGAGTTTATGAAAATTGATTTAAAATATTCATGTGGACATACAGGGCGTTTCATGCTTGATGTACCATCAGAGGTTTTGGGGAAAACGGGAAGTAGCAACTTGCTCACAAATAAGACAATCTGCATAATTAATTGTCCGGTTTTTTCCCCAACTTTCTAATCATTGTTGTAAAAGTATTTTCCTATACAAATCTAGTCTTTATTGCATCCATAATCAAAATGTTGTTGAGAGGTTTATTTACGTTTAGGTATCTCAATGTAACTTTAGCCAGATTACAGTATTTTTATTTCATCTGTCGATAATAGTTTTTGAGATCTTACTAAAAGATCAGCTAAATTCTTATATTAATAAGATCGAATGTTTTTGTGCTGGTCAGTTTGGATTTAGGGGAGGGCGTTCGACGATCCAAGCAGTGTCTAAAGTTGTGAGTGGGATACTTGAGGGCCTCGAGGGGGGGTGAATTAGTTGGTTTGACCTTGAGTGATCTCTCCAGGGCCTTCGACTGTATTTCTCACCAGCTTCTGCCCTTAGATCTTATAGCGTCCTACTTGCAGGGCCGACAGCAGTTTGTAGAATACCAGGATGACCGTTCATCACTTGAATCAGTAGTAAGCGGGGTGCCCCAGGGTTCCGTTCTGGGCCCGTTACTATTTACAATATACATAAATGACCTTTATCATTTCATGGCCCCCAACCAGTGCGTGATGTTTGCCGACGATACATCCTTCACTACATCTGCTAAGAGTATCGAGGAGTTGTCCGTTAGGGTTGGCATGTTGGAGGACAGGGCTAATGTCTGGGTCGAAAATAATTATCTTAAATTAAATTTAGACAAGACCCAGAGTATTGTGTTTTCCTCCAATTGCTTGGTAAATAGTGGACAGTCCGTCAAGTTGCTTGGCATTAGGATCGATGATAGTCTAAATTGGAAACAACATATCTCAGACCTGAAAAATAGATTGTCCAGCAACATATTCGTTCTTCGACGACTGAGAGGCCTGATAGGAACAAGGACTCTGCTTATGGTCTATTTTTCTTTGTTGCATTCACACTTATGCTATGGCACGGTACTGTGGGGTGATTCCTCAGCTGCTGTGGAGATTTTTAGAATGCAGAAAAGGGCCATTCGAGTCGTTGCTAATATAGGATATAGTGACCATTGTCAATCTTATTTTAAAAAATTCAAAGTGATGCCCCTTCCTTGCATCTATATCTACTACCAGTTATTAGAGATACAGAGAACGAAAGGAAACTTTAGCGCTAATTCCGATTGCCATGCCTATTCAACTCGTTCGGGGGATCTCCTTAGACGGCCTAGGTTTAGACTGAGGAAGTCTGAGAACAACTCATTGAACCTGAAATTGTATAATGTTTTGCCAGGTACTGTGAAAAAGATGAGCAATAGAAAATTTTAACATACTATTAAAGAATTCCTACAACGTCATTGTTTTTGCTCCCTGCGAGCATACATTGACACTGTCACTGGTATCGATGCGCTATAAAACTGGATAGTACTGTCTAATTTTGTTTGTATTAGATGTGTGTCTTTATGTTATTTATTAATTTGATTTTATTGCACTTGAATATCACTTCTGACTTGCTACAAGTGTATGTCCCTTTTGTACGAAACGTAGTCAATAAATGAATCTATCTATCTATCTATCTAACATTCGAAATTTTATTATGATTATATGATAAAATTTAATTGCGTCTTTCTCAAATCTGACATTTGTTACTCCGGCCCTTTTTCGGGTGGGGCCTCGATTACGAAAATCTTCACCCTTTAAGTGCAGGCGGGAACCGGGTCGCAGCGGAGTCAAACTTCGCATTTTCGGGCAACAATTCAAACAAGCGACCGGTATGGAATTAAGGGTCGTTAACTACTTGTACCAGGCGCGGATTATGATTGCTTTCCGTACAGGGTGAACGAAATAAAACACCGACTGAAACCCGTCACCGCAATCCCACTTCTGAATTGTCATTCGCGACGCAATTGCGACGCAAACAACGTGTCTCCCGGAGGAATTCAAACGGCTTCGCGTGTTGTAGGTCAACGGTGTCGCGTATTTACGTAATATGGCGTCCCTCCTGGGATGACGTTCGAATTGCGGAGAGAGCCCTTCCGGAAAACGACGGAATTTTTTTCGCAAAATCGTGCCTCCGGATCGCTTCGCAGTGTTTTGTTTGAATATTGCATCTTGCACGCGAGCGATTCTGCTATGCGATTACTACTAATTGGACTTTCAATCCGCGTTTGCATTCGAAAATAGCAGACTCTAAATTAAAATCGACCGTGCAAACGTTTCGTACGTTTTGCCAATGGCGTCGAAAACGTTTAACCGAATTAATTAGTTTTCAACGTGACTGCTTCATCGACCGAAGTGGCAATAGACGTTTCTGTAGTGCTCGATTATTTTTTTTGGCGGTGTCTCACCCAAAGTCACCTTTTTAAGAACGAAATACGACAAAATTGTAAGAATATTACAAAAATTGACATTTCGTTTACTTACGAACTGCACACCCTTGTAAAATCTTTGTTTACGGTTCAATTTCGATTTTTTTTTCTGTTGAATAGGTGACTAAGGCTATTTAATAAAAGAGAAGAAAGAAATTCTATTAGGGAGGGAAAAAAATTGACAACGAATTCTTGTTCAGGAGTACTTAGAACCCAACTATACTAATTTTTATAATGTTTGAATATAGGGTGTAAACGATTAACGGTGTAAAATCTTTGTTTACTGTTTGATTTTGGTATTTTTTAATTGTTTCTTATTACATCAACCCGATTTTTTATGTCAAATATCGAGGAGAGTTATTAGGGATTTCTTTAAGAATCAAATGACAACGAATATACTAATTTCCGTGAAGTTCGAATACAGTGTACTTGAAATATCCTGTAGAATGTTTGTTTACTGGCTAAATTTTGATAATTCGTTTTTTAATATGAACTAAACAGACTTTACAACGCTGTATTTTTTTAATTAAAAACTGTTTTTAATTTTCATCTAATAAGTAAAATAGCCGAAATATCAAAACTGATTGACGTCGGCATACTGATTCTTTTGTATAAATAAGTTTACCACGGAGAAGGGAATATTCGACTGTCAAATTCACTCGCTAATTTATATTTTATTTTGTTTACATTATACCTTTCGAATATGTTAATGTTGTTGTTTTAAGATGATACTAAAAAATAATTGTCTCTTAAAAAGTCTTTTTATCATTGTTTTATATTATAATTGGTCTAGTTACTTTTAGATAGTCCTGAATACGAATCCGTTGTCCTTTTCTTTTGGAAAAAATCTCTAAAAGTATTGTTAGGTTTTATGTAATAACCCTTCTCGATTTAAGTTGAAGCAATAAGCAATATAAGGTTTAAGTGCTTTTTGCACAGATCTATCCAACAAAAAAAATATCAAAATTTTACATGGGTTTTTAAAGGGGACACGCTGTAGGAAAAGGTCGAACATGCCTCGATAAACAGGTTTTTTAATTGTGAATTTTAAATTGTTTAAATAAAGAGTTGTGCTTACAGGTCGTGAGATAAGCTAAATAAACGAACTACCACACACAAAAAACAAAAAAAACAAATATTTCTTATTTCGCGGCTGCTAAATAATAATTTGTTGTTTTTTCTGTAACATAATTTGCTCTGCTGTGATTGTTAATATTGCTTTGTACTTTTTTTGTTTTTTTTTTAATTTATTTTTTTGTTTTACTTATTATATATGTGTATGTATTTCACATTTATAGTGGAGCTTGCAACCCTTTTTTGCTTTTGTAGAAATCAAGAGAAATTTAAAAATATGGCAATACTCACCACAAAAATAACCTCTTTAATTGCAGAACTGCAACTGGTCACCACCATAGCTTTTCTGTAAATTAAATTAAAATGGGTTTTAAACAATCCATTATAAATTAAATCCATTTTTGTTGTAATTATAACAGGACTTATATTTACAACTAACAATGTATTATAAAATCAAATCAATCAATTATTTGATAATAATTATTATTTTCCCTGCCATTGATCGTGTTCTCTAGCATTCATTGATATGACTTGTCGTTATAAATATACACGGAGGTCCAAGTTAAATATCACCAAGCTCGAAAACTAATCGGATGCCATCGATAAACATTTTTGATCATATTAGATATAACAATATTAAAACCATGATAAAAATTATATAGTTTCTTGGAACTTTAACACCCTTAATAAAAAAATTGGGATGGAATTTTATTTAAAAAAATCCTTTGCTTTTTTTGCTCAAACGCATGTCAAAATTAATGACGTTTAAGCTGAAACACCCTGTATAAAGTATCACAGCGGAGATATGAAATGAAGTTTATGTTTATGTAGAATTTAACCTAGATTCCTACAAAACGAAGTGACATCGAAGGAAACCCGCGGTCAAAAATATGCGTTTTTGAAATTTTGAAAAAATTTTTGCAATTTTCCGCCACGAAATGAAAACGATACCTTCATAATTTTTTTATAGCTAAATGGAAGAACCGCAAATGAAACACCAATTTTCACTGACCTTGAAATTAGCAAACCGACGCGCAAACTTCTACCTTTCTAAGCCACCACCAACCGTATCGAAAGTTTGCCGCGAATTAACAAACGGCTCGCTCTATTATCCCTTTCCACCACCTCACCGCTCTATAAACTCATTATGAGCGTCGTCGGCTCTTAACTAGAGTTGCACACATGTGTACTACAGCGCCAATTTGAAAATGGCGTACCTTTCTTATTAGAATATTATGAACGAACGTTTCAGTCATTTTTTTGTGTTTTGTACAAATATATAAAGGGGAGTTAAAAATTGGTGGGGTAAATAGGAAATGAAAAAAAAGGTAATGAGAACTTAAACCTAGTTTATTTTCTTAAAAATTAATTAATGCCATTCATTTTGAACCTTAAAAGCTCAACAAGCCAGTCGAACCCGGCAAGGACATTTTGTGAAAATTAATTTTGATAGACGCACAAAAAGTATGAGAAATAATATCAGGTATGGTCTGTTCACAGATATAAGAAAATGACCAATTACTTTTGAATGGGATTATCCAAGGGTGGTCATTAACATACAATGCAACAAGATTATTACCTAAAGTTACGGAACTTAAATTCAGGTAAAATTGAGAAAATAATTTTATACCTACCTGTGTTTAATATTCTTTGGTTTGGTATATTATTCAGTTTAAGTTTATTAGTAACACTTCTTATATTGAATCGTGCGTTGGAATGGAATATCTAGAAAAAAATAGGATTTACAGAGAACAAGAAAGGCCAATTATTTACTTGGATGACACTTATGATAACCCGGAAAAGGGTTGGATTGACTCAACTGATAAGCGTCAAACAAACGCGCCATCAAAAAGAGGTAAAAGAATAACTATTTTGCGTGCTGCCTCTAAAGATGGTTGGATTCCAAAAGGATTTTCTCTGCCTGCGAAAAATATTAAAGATTCTTCTCTGGATTCGCATGAAGACACCACCACTGATTTATTTGAAAGTTGGTTTAAAAACAAACTAGTTCCAAACTTTACTCCTAATAGCATAATTGTAATGGACAATGCAAGTTATCACAGTAGACAGTTGAATAAAACCGCTTCCTTGTGTAACACAAAAGCAACAATCCAAAATGACATTTATTTTCACGAAGATCATACCAAAAAGCAATTAATTGAGGTCCTACAAAGCTTTGTTTGGCACCAACTGAAATCTTCCATTCGTCGTAACAATGCTTTTTCCCGTGTTAATAAATATTATTGTTCAGTATCTTTCCTAACAAAACCACAAATAATTAAATTCTAAGCAAAGTACGGCCATATTTCATTCTTACAGCTTGCCCGGGTCTTTCCTTAATTCGTATCAATTAGTCACTTTCTTATATCTATGAACAGACTTTACACCGGTCCAATATAATGCAAAAAAATTGTCACTTAATGTTTGAGACAGCATCAGTTTTTTGAAATATTTGCCATATAAATTTTCGAAAATCCGCTGAATAAAATTTACGAGAAAATTTTAACCCACTTGAAGTCATTCCCACTCGAAGATACTGCACGAACGTAGACCCTTGAAAATTCCGGAGCAACGAATCATCGAGTTGCTAGGATAACAAAAGTAACAAGCCAATTTTTTTAACAACTTAGGCTATATCGTTATTTAAAGGCCTCATTAAGAACACTTATCGACTGATAACGACCAGATTAAAGTACCTTCTTAACAAGTTATAAAAGCCTCTCCTCTCGGTTCACTGTATTCCACAACCTCGTGGTACCAAAGCAGAACAATGTCGCACAACATAATAACTGTCGAGACTTATCCAGAAAGACTAGGCAGCGGTCGCTTCAAGCGCGTCTGCATTATCCTCATCGCGTTTTATCTGCCGCAAATTGGTGGCGGCTTGGGCGCGCTCGTCACCAAAGACTCCATCGACGGATGGTACCAGACCCTCAACAAACCCAGCTGGACTCCTCCGACGTGGCTGTTCATGCCTATGTGGATCTTCTTGTATTCCTTGCTAGGAATCGCCTCGTATATGACGTACGTCTTTGGCAATGGCCTCGGAGGTGAGCTTGAGGGAGTTGAGGTATTTTTTTTTTGGTGCTAAAGATCGCGTAGGAGAATAATATACCTCTACTAACCAAAACTAACCAAAACTATAGGTGCTGCCAAGTGGCCCATCATCATTTACGTCTGCAACTTGGTACTCAACTGGTTATGGAGCCCCGTATTTTTCGGAACTGAAAACATATTAGCCGTAAGTGATACTCTTTTCTGATGGAAAGTAGTTTTGATTACCGGCTACTTTTTCGCAGGGGTTGGTGCTGATCGCGACTATCCTTCTAAGCGCGGTGTTAACCGCGGTCCTCTTCGCAAGGGTGTATTGGGTCTTGGGGTTACTGCTGCTGCCCTACGTTGTATGGTTGACTGTCGCCACGGCGCTGAACGCCTGGATATACGTCAACAACTGATCGAGATCAGCATAAGCCGTTATTTTTAGAATTATTATTTTCTTTATCGAGTTTAAAATTCCGACGGATTATACACGAATCGAATTTGATATCGAATTTTCCGGATCGTGCGTAGTGAATATCGCAATAAAACGTAAGTGCTTATCTGATTATGCGCGGTCCTTTATCTGTCCCGAATATTTGAGAAAACACCATCGGAAGGCCGCCGGCTTGGTTGTGTCAGGTTAATTTTTGCGTTTTGATACAGATTCCCAAATCCTCGGGGATTAAGTTTGGAGGAGTGCATCGTCATTACGTTAAAATGCATCCATTTTATTTGCACTACGATAAAATTGGTGTTATTTAATGAAAGTCTATTAGCGTGATCCCATAATCTTTGAAGATGTCGAATTAAAACTCGAATCTTTTACCACGCCCCCGTCAATAGCACAAATACGACAAAAGAATGATGCACCTAAATCTCACTCACGAAATTTTATGGGATTTGCGCATATTTTGGAAAAATACTACTGAAATAGTGCCACACTGAAAAAAAAAGGTCCAATTCACAAAGTATCAGGGGCGACTTTAAACATGACAAGGTGTTGGTTGAAATAATGCTCTTGCCCATATTGAATATACTTCTTCATCATTTTATAATGTTCCTTTCGAAATGGTCATAGTATTTTTTAAGAATATAGATAGAACAACTTTTAAAAGAGTTGCTGAATTCCCATTATCAAAAGCGTCAGCAATCACAAATGTGAGATTTTTTTAAGCCTAGGAGAAATATTCCTTTGTCTTATTCCCAAACGCCCACCTATAAGTCTCTGGCTGAACTGTCTGGTACACAGAGGCGATAGAATTTTCGCATATCCGTAAGGAAACTTTCTAATACGGTTATTAAATCTAATAATGTGGTCGGACGCCTGAACTTGAAAAAAATCAATGGAAGTTTTCCCCTTCCTTGTACCCATACCGCCACCTGTGCCCCGCTGGCGAAACCACATGTTTTTAGAGCCGATGAAGTTTTAACAAATCGGCAAGTAAATTTTGTAATACCTTGGTTCATAGGTTGGCATGTTTTGAACTCTTGGAGAAGTAATTATAAATTAACAAAACATTTCTATTGATGGTAATCAGATGCCTAAAAACTGGTTCCTATTAAACAAGTTGAAAAAATTCCCCTTTTTTCTATTGAAGCGTCACCAGTGACGCGCTGGCTGAACTACCTCGGTTTTACAGGTCATGAAATTTTTAAGGATCTCTAAGAAAACTTTTTAATCGGAATATTAGATTGAGAATTCCGCTGGCTCCATCTGCCAACCTCTGGCCGAACCACCAATGGTAATTTATAGGCTTCGTCGCTACGTGGCGTTTCTGTGGGCTCATCGACTTCGTTCTATACTTCCTGGCTAGTTGTTTAATTGAACTTAATTAATTTTGATGCGACAACAACATGGGTAGCATCATCAACGTCTGCTGTCTGCCAAACCGGCTCGCACAGAGCGACGAAAAATAATAAACTCCCCTGGGGGGGTCCCTAGCATTTTTTTTGGGCCGGATAATTAAAAAGATCCGAATAGATTGGTTCTGGGAACGAGCGTTAACAAAAAACGCCACAAAAACGCGACTGCGATTCAAATCTCATTGTTACTTGAAGCTCGAGCCAAGGTCAAGCCCGCAAATGATCTCACATTTCTTACAGGTAATTCCGAAACGCTCGACGTCTAACAATGGATGCTTCATACCGGCGCTACTCGAAAGCTGCTTGTTTACAACGAATTCCCAAAAAAAAAGTGTTTTTTTTGTCCGCTGGGAACGCACCGAAAGATATATCTACATTTGCTTTGTGGCTTTTTTCTTGTATTTTTCGGGGTGGAAATTTCTCGTCGTTGTGCAGTATGATTCTTAAGCGCTCTCGTGTCACCAGTTTTTCTTTTTGATGTAGCACAGTGTGCCCAAAAACTTGTAGGCGCAAAGGAGCAGATCCTCCATTAAATTACTGTAGATTAGGACAAGCGTGTTTCTTTCCTCTTGAGAAAAAAAAATGTTTATTTAATCTAACCAATCTCACTAATAGTCCTAAACCAAGGCCAATAACAACTATGTTTACTGCAAAGTATTTTCAAAAAAAAGTAGTAAAATATTCTTAGGATAAATCCGCGTTTATAGGCTCTTCCTTTTTTTCAGTCAAAGTGTCAGTCTCAAATGAGGGATAGAAAAAAAATGCCCAATAAATAATAAGAAATATTATTTCAATTCTTGCATCTAAACCGCGGAATTCAATTGCATTGAAAATGCAAACGGTTCAAAATCTTTTAATGCTTGTAAAATTGTGAATTAAATTTCTAAACATTATCTTTTGAATAGAAGAATCTTTATGTCATTAAAAGGTCGAATTAAATTTTGAGGTGAGAATCATTTAGTTCCACTTTTTTCAACAAAAAGAGTAAACATCGGTCTAAATGTAAAGATTGTTCGAGAAATAACTTCAAATTCCAATTACTCCACAAAAATGGAATAGTTTATTAGGAGAATTAAATATTATTATTCTGTAAAGAAGAAGATTTGCACTTTGACATCTTCCTATACAGACCGCTCACCATCCATTGTTGAAATTTATATTTATTTCTATTGTGCGTTACGTTGTCATGCGCCGTTCTAAGAACAAAATGGAGCATATCTTTTTATTGGGATTCCCCGAATTGATAAGTATCGTATTCGGGGATTCCTTGAAGAGGGTTACCGGTAAATTTGACATCGCAAACGCATACTGATTTATTATAAAATACATACAATTATTAAATAATGTTAGATATCACTCTGAAGTTGTTATTTAAAACATTTTGATAGAATTGACTAGTCAATTAAGAAGTGGTCAATGGACCATGGTCGATTGGCCAGTCCCTACACAAGTCGTCTCCCAAATGTTTATGAAAAATAATAATGCACAATTTGTTTGAACTGTATTTTAATTTAGCTTAAATGTATCAAAATTATCCGAAAATTGGTTTTAGGGAAAACACAGTTTTATATAATTTAATTTAATATTGAGTTTTATACAACCACCCATTTTATGATAACGTCCGAATATTAAAAACTTCGTTTATTAAGTTCCAAAAACTTAAACAGAAATTCTAAAATTAAAAACAGCCATATTTTACCCTACAAAAATTTGAATATTTTCTTATATTGAATTTCTTAATGATAAGTCAAGTGTGTGTTGAAAAATTCTTAAAAGTTGTGATTTGAACACGATTATTGCCTGAGACATTACTTTGACCACTCAATATCAAGTGCGGCGATGCCTGTCAAAATCAGTTAACTAATATTTTAAAAATGGGACGTGAGAAATTAATTACTTAGTTCATGATAGATAGTGTCTATAAGTTGTGTGTTTTCAACTATGATTGTGATTAATAATGTTTCTACAAAGCAAGTGTTTAATATAGATTAATTATATAAAACATAGAGAAAACTCTGTCTCACAAACTAAACGATTTCGCATAATATGTCAGATGGATTATGACTGTTAGATGCTTATTTGAAGTACACGAATTTGGTAGTTCATTTGAGATTTACCGACGTCATTAATTGCCTTACCGTTTCAGACGAATGCCAATCCGTTTCTAGGCTTAGAATAGCCATTAAATTTGTTTAAAAAATACGACCTATTCGACTTATGTAGTGTTATTTTTCTATCTCCATGCAAAACAAAACTCGTCTTAAATTGGTTATTTGAGCGGCTCTGTATAGAATTAAAACAATAGATGGTATGCCAAGAAAACCGCACATAAGCAATAACAGCGTCGATATATAATCGATTAATTCCTAATAATTATCAATAGCATGGTTGAATATTTATATTTTCTATATTTATCCCATCTTCACGAATATCATCGGCGAGATTGGAAATGAGAAGGTGCGAAACGGGTAATAATTGTTGTTTGCTAGCGTACAAACCAGGATATTTGCAGAAACAATATTCTATACGCGAAACACAAATAAAATACTGGAAAAGCACTCATACACCCAGCAAATCGTTCTTAGGTGTTTGCTCGGCAACATCGCATTTAACTTGACAAACGTCAAAACTGCGGGTTAACACAGTGAAACCTGGTCGTCACTTTGTTATTAAAATAAGTAAAATAATTCACCTTTCTGCAATGGTTTAGTTGTAACTGCGAAAGTATCATCGCTGTGTGGCACCTAAGTGTCAGAAACTTGAAGAAGCTATAACTTAAAGCAATTATAGGTGCACTTATGGGTATATTAAAGTTGTTTTAGTAGTTGGTAAATAAACAATACGAACCAAAACCAGTATATGAAGGAGGTGCACTAGGGTGTCAGCAGGCCTCCAGAATGCTCATCCGTGCATCATGTCTATAGATTCCACAGAAAGAGGTTAGAACTCTTGCTCAGAAGGAGCTCAAAATAGAGAGAGTGTTCCAGATTTGGACTGGATAGAAGGATGATCTGCTCCTCTGGTACTAACGTTACGTGGTTTTGACAAAAATGTTCATATTACCTACACTTAATTTTAATGAAGAACTGATAACCCATCATACTTAATTGACTAGTAAAAAACAATTTTTTCGCTCTGGCGGAATGAGCATCGCAAGTGGTCCTTTCAAGTGGTTCGGAGACGAAAAAAACAATGATCTGAACAACCTCGAACCTGGGACAAAGCTGCTGCGTCTCCCTCTTCGCGCGGAGGTTACGTAATCCGAATCCAATTAAAAAAAAATACTCGGGCAAGAAGCTTCGATTAAGTATAAAAATGTCCGCCTATCTGCCGGTAATCGCAAGTCGAACGACATGGTGCGGTGGTACGCTTTGGTTCTGGTACTGCTAGGTGCGGCAGCCGTAAATTGTGCACCCGGGTTTGACGACAGGGAAGATTCAGTAGACAATGTGCAGCCCTTAGGAGAAGTAGAAGTAAGTACAAGCCGATTTGGTGCCTCGTGCTTTTTTTTCTATTTTGAGAAGTTTTCCAAATGGCGCGTTCTGATTGTAGGGTGACATTGATACTGTAAAACAATTATCAAAATTAGTTCTCCCGGTAATCGTTAAAATTAAAATATAATTCTGGATAAAAGTTGAAGTGTCGTAAACTTTTCTTGTCATCCTAACCTCACCATCACATGTCTTCAATCAAACCGTCATAATAATAGTGAAAATTAAAAAGAAAAAATGTCCCAAAAACATATTTTTGTGTTTATCTTTTGATTTTTCTTTACTGATGTCTTAATTCCAGCAGACTTGTATTTTTTTTTAAATTTTCTCTGCAGTTGCTAATAGTGGAGCCGGTCCTCAGAGAAAGAAGATCCCCTGGCGGATACGGCGGGGGTAACAAGGGCGGCGGAGGCGGTCTCGGAGGCGGTGGCGGTTTCGGGGGTGGTTTCGGCGGCGGCGGCGGAGGCGGTGGAGGTTTTGGAGGCGGCGGCGGCTTCGGCGGCGGTTTGGGAGGCGGCGGAGGAGGTGGTCTAGGAGGCGGTGGAGGCGGCGGTCTAGGCGGCGGCGGCGGAAAGTCCATCGGTGGCGGTGGATATCCCGGAGGTGGCGGCGGACACTCGGGCGGAGGCGGTGGTCATCACAGAGGCGGAGGTGGTGGTTATCCGGGAGGCGGCGGTGGCTGCAGTTCGTGCGGCGGAGGCGCTGGGGGCGGCGGTTATGCCAAGGCGTCTTCTTCGGCGTCGGCCAAAGCGGGAGGATAGTACGTCATTTAGAAATTACATTTAACTTATTCATATATTTGGACTACGTAGTTAACTAGTAACTAGTCTTAACTCACTAGTGAGATATAAGGTAGAATTCGATAGTCACTTAAAAATCGAATTTTTCAAAATTTAGTTTGACACTTTTTTTAAAGGAGTTTTCTGACAGTGACAATTTTATTAATATTTTAATTTATTGTTGAAACGGCATTATATAAAAAGTTCTATTAAGGAAATGAGTTATTACATATGTACATGTTACTATATCACTGCTGTACGTGTTAATTTTCGTCGTGACTTTTATGTAACATGACACACTTAAATAACTATCATTAATTTAATTTTTAACTAACTTCTTTGAGTATAAATATAGAATATTGAATATAACTCACTAGCCAGTTAAAAGTGGGAACACTTGCAACTGACTGGTGAGTTATATAATGTGCCTAAATATTTTGATTTATATAACTCACTAGCGAGTTGTAGAGAAAATAAAAATTAGGTTGGTACTTGCATCTTTTAGGCTTTTTAATCTAGAACTTGTTTCGAGTGATTTGGAAAAACTATTTAGTAATGACTTTTTTTACAGTGGAAAATAATGCACTGCGGATAGAATTGGCGTAGAAATCAGCAGGATATTCTTGTTGAGCTACCGCCAACCGGCTAGGCATGAACCGATACCTACGAGAAACCTCAATATTGTAATGTAAATAAAGTCCAAATAAACTCTTTTTTGTCAACATTTAATTTTTGTCGTCATTTAATTTAAACAGAGTTTCCCGTCAATTCAAACGAGCTACGAAAAAACCTACAATTTCATGCTTTAGTGGTGTTTATGAACGGCGCCAAAAAAGGTTAATTCGTTTAGTTGCTTTTTGAAATATCCCCGTGACGTACGTCGTAAGCCACTAAATGGTAGGTATAATTTTAGTTGCTTTTGAGATTAACTAGTGAGTGAGTTATAAAAATGATGTACTCAAACACCATAATAAAAACAGCGATTTGCTCCTGATAATGCAACGAGTTAATAATATTTATTAATATTATAAATCATTAGTATTTTTTTAGTATTTATGTTTATATTGCTTATCATTTTGTTTGAAGTTTAAATTCTACTTTTTTAAGGGCATTAAAAGGCTCACTTAATATCTAAATTTGAGTCTGAATGATCCTTTAAGTTTATATTAAATGAATTTGATGCAAAATCTGAAACTGGCATAATAGTAAGCACGGACATTTTGAGACACACAAGCCACACACCGAGGATATTTTAATCTATAACATTTGTCAATTGATTGGAAGAAACAAATAAACGCGTATCTTGGGTTTAATACCCCTATCAGCTCATAAAACGTTAAATAGAAACGTTTTTTGTATCTAGTACAAATAGTTTTTAATATACAGGATATATAATATACGTCTCCCACAGCACCTACCTTCCGTATTTTAAAAGGGGCACCCGGTATATTATTTCATGTTGTGATTTCCGCGAAAATTTCATTGTAGTTTCCTTTAAGTTTCCTGATACCTAATTTCAATAATACCTCATATTTTGAAAATTTTGAACGAAGGACAAGAACCATTATTGAGTCACTGCACCATTTAATCCTTTTTGAACGTACGACGATAATTGATGTTCAGAACTCTCCTAAAGTCCAGTCAGAGGAATTGTGCAAATACGTCAACTTTATCCACTTACTGGATGTCGAGAAATTTGTTTTTCATTTTTGAAATCATTGTCAAAAGTTGTGCCACGAACAAAGTTTTTAAATTTAGCGGATAATTAAACGTTTCAAATTTCTACAAAGTCATTATTTATTATATTTATTTATTTATTATATTTATTGTCTCCATACTTGGAACCATCTCATTTATATGAACGAGCAATTTAAGTTTCTGAAATTTATTAATTGGGTAGGTACTTATTAGGTCTTATTGTATCGTGTTGCCGATACAGTATATATTTCTGTCAGATCGATGGATATGCTTTTTCTGGAGGCAACAAATTCAGACAAACAGACCATTAAATAGCAGCACAGGAAACACGCTACCCGAGCATAGTATACGCACAGGAATTTATACTATGTACGCAGCAGGTATGAAAAAAAATTGAAACTTTTCCTTTCTCCAAATGAATAAGTAAGGTGGGGTAAGAGCGCACCAAAAAATGAATAAGTGAATTTGTAAATTCATTAAGTGTTTGATATTATTGTCATGGGATTGTCTGCTTATAAAAGTAAACCCGCTATAGTATGGTTGTCGGGAAAAATTTGAAAAAGTTAAGCATTTTCTAATTACTAGAATTAAATTTTTTTTGGTGCCAAGTACCCACTTGCCCGACGATTTCGGGGCAAGTGCGTTTTATTCAATATTTTAGCGTAAAAGTGCCGAACAATAAACAAGGCAAGAGCAATCATCTCAATGAAATGTTTTCTTTCAAATAAAATTAACACAAAACTGACCAAAGAAAATACAGGTGCTATAAACTTTTTAAAATTTATTGGAAATCATTGAAACTCAAGAAATTAACAGAAAAATTTTTGAAAACCTTAAGAAACTCTTGGGAAAATCAACATATGAAAGTGTAACAACATATGAGTAAGTAACTTAATAAATTTTTAATAAACTCTAGCTACTGGAGTAGCTGTAGTTAATGAAAAATCCTTTCTACTTTTTTCTATTGTTCAGATACGTCTACAGCACTTGGGAAAATATACTTTTGGCCGCATGGTACCAGTTTGGGTTGTTCTAGTTTTTGAATAATATCAGACAATAAAATTGAACATTTGTCTATTTCTTCGAGCCTGAATTCCCAGCTGTTGTCCCATCTTAGTGAACCTTCATTAACTAGAATGGACAATAAATCATATCACTGTGGACTAGCTGACCCAATACCTAATCAAAATTGGATTAAGCACTCTCTCGTCGAGTAGCTGCAGAAAAGGGAATATTCCAGCTATGGATGTTAATGGATAAAGCGACACTTGCCAGACAAACTGCATAGGTAGTTCCTAAGTATTTTTCTTTGAATATAAAATTATTTCAGAAGATAATCTTTTAAGAATGGAAAAGTTAACATTCGAATGGTCATCGTGTTTTGTGGCTTCCTCTTTATCATTGCCAATTTAATGCTATAGAGATAGTTTGGTAAGATTGTAAACGGTATTATGATGTCAAAATTGGTTCCATCAGTTCTGTAATATTTGATGAGGTTACTGGGTTTATGGACTGACGCACTTGCCCAAGCAAAATAAACATAAAATAAATAAAAAAACAACAATAGTACTTCTGATGGAGCATTCATAAAACTCCAGGGTTCACCAGAAAAATTGAACCACTGTTAGTAAGGCTAGAGAAACAGACTTGAAAGAAGATATTTTTTTCCATTGATGATTTTTTATTCTCCTTTTCTCTTTGCGTTATGCGTTTTCTTTGATTTTGTTGTTGAAACTTTGGGAGCTTTTACAAAGTATATCAATTTGATTGATCTAATATTTGATGCGTTTTGGTGTGTCCGTTAGTATAAATGCGCCACTGAAACAAGTTTCCATAACAAATACATGCCATAACATTACAATGATAGTATATTATGCGACAAATGCAGTAAACGGCATTTGACTCACGAGTTTATTTGATACGAGCGGAGCGCAGCGGAGCGAGTGTATAATAAACGAGTGACTTAAAAAGTTTACCGAACGTGTTGCATACTATACTTTTCCTACGACCTTTAGTTTTTGACTTTTGATTACGTCACTATACGTGACGTGACCACTTACATGACGTACAAAACCTGCACAACTTTGCTTTTTTAAATACGACATCCTGATGGTCTGATGCAGAATTTAATTCTACATCCTTTGGCTATGCCTTTTCCTCTACCCCTTTCTCACTATTCCATATTCTATATAAAAGTGAATAAACTCCAAATTTATTTCTAGTTAGTCCGTACTTTGACAAAGTAGGATATGATTTTGGTTCAATTTACGTAAAAAAAAAATTAAAACCAATTATGTAATTTTTAAAGTTTCCTTTTGTACTGTTACATTTTGATTTGATTTTTGGCAGGTATTGGAGCATATGTTTTTGTAGAAATTAAATGAAACGGTAAAAATTTACATTAATTAGAGTTACCCTGAAACTAAACTGGTAAAAACGGGCAACACAAGAAAGAAGAAATACAAAATGATGGTAAACGAAACCATTACAATAACTGAAGCTGTCGTTAATACAATAATTCCTCTGTAGGTCGTGTAGACCTATAGTAAGTACACTTGTTATTTAATACAGCCACGGAGTAAAATATCTAAGGTCTACATATACTACTACTAGCAAATGCTATAAAGTTTTTAAAATAATCAAGGGAGATAAGAAACGATAGACATTATGTATAGCTGAAGTAATCTAGTATTGGAAGGCTTTAATATCTCCAAAATTGTCAAAGATGGAAGCATAAAATTCAATACCTGGGAGTTCTTCAAGATGCAGAATTCAAAAATGCTAACAGAAATGTTGTCAGGTTTACTGCTTTTACGTTACATGTCATAATTTTGTTATATTAAATGGAATGCGCCAATTATTTCTGTTGTAATAAATTGCTCATATCGAATTTAGTAAGGCTTTTCCAGTAAAAAGTACCGGAACGCTTAAATATCGGCAAACTCAAGCTGAAACGGCAAAACTGAATCTGTACGGAATTTTGAACTTGCAGAATTAAAAAATTCTAACGGCAATGTTGTCAGATTTACGTTACACATCAAAATTTTATTATTTTATAGCATCCAAATTAAATACCTAAGAGTTTTGAACATACAGAACTCAAAAAATTTGGAGGTTTTTTGAAAAATTCGCAATTTTAGAAGTGAAAGGTTACCAGAATTCTGGATGTTCAAAAACCACCAGGTATTGAATTTTATCATTCCAGCTTGGGTAGTTTTTAAGATATAGAGCGGTCCATTACTTTTTACAAGCCTGTATAATATATTTTTTTGGTCGACACGAAACACTATCGTACACTATTTTTAACGGAACTAAATTAAAGATGCGTCGTGCATTCGTATACAAATTATGTGGTTTTATACCAAAAAACCGCAGAATATGTACATTTCACACCAACGGCAACGGTTCGAATTGAAAACCGCAACGTCATCTACAGGGAGGCCCTCCGCATTAAATTCGAGCGTTTAAAAATAGCCGACCTTTTATTTGGGCGCATCAACGGTTTCTTTATTCCGGCTCAAAGGAGCGTTACGTGCGGAAAATGGATTCGCCACGCGGTAACGCATCATCCCATATACGAGGGAGCTCTTAGGATTCTAATTTTTTATTTCCAATTTCGGAAAAGCCGCTCACAGGACACAGAGACGCGTCAGGATTTCATTGTCGTTAATATACAGGGCGTAAATGGATCTGTGATCCAAAGACTTCTTGAAGAGCGTCTTAGTCACTGGCGTCTAGATGTGCATTACTTTGTACTCTTTTTTAGGTTATGTATACAATATTTTAAGTCAATGCTGTCATTGCTGAGTTCGGTTTTGGAGTTTTTGGGATTGTTGATTTTCTGAATTTGTGTTCAAGTTTTAAAAGTATTTCGTCAAAAGTTGTTCCTCACACCCAAGTAGCACACAATATCCCCAGTATACCAGGTCAATGTCCCATTTCAGTCGCGTGTCCCGGAACATGTGGAGGATGATATTCTTAGGATATACGTTAGCATATATACTATATATACTATACTATATACACTTTCTCTTCATGGGTTTTGAGCAGTTAAATTTGGGCATACAAAACTAAACTAAGAGGCAAGAAGAGTGAGCAACGAATCCAAAAAATGTTTTAAATTTCCTGCTATCACCAAAGATGACAGAAAACCTGTCAAATTATTCTTTTAGAGTGTAGTTCGAGATGTAGTATCTTACTCTATATTTAAGATACTTTAGGACAGGTTGATCTATATTTTTGATATTCTATATACCTACAATTTTTTCATATCTACAATAGAAAAAAATCAGATGTGTGTAAAATGGTTTCAATCGGCAGTCCTTTTACCGTCAAAAGCAAAATTAAATATTAAATATTAATTGGAAAAAAACTTATGGATTTTAAATATAGCCTGCAATTCCAGTGATGACTTCGCAAACCATACCCAATAGATTAATCCTTAGCATGTCCTAAGAAACATCCTACGGATATATGTATCGGATATACTGTGGACGTTCCAATTAGTAACATTAACTAGAGCAGTATATCCCTAGGATATACTTCATGTCCCGTCAGATATCCAGAGGGCGTTTTACGGATGTCCTTGTGCAATTTGGGCACATACTCTAGGTTTGTGTTGGGAGCGTTTAAATAGTCTTTGTTTTAGAATTTTTAATTATAGTGTGTTACTTTCGTGTCCCCTATATAGATCTCTGATGTATGATTTCATTTTGTTGGAACAAAATCTGAAAGTCTCGTTAGTGGCCATCTCTGTCCATTATTTTAAATGAAATTATCAAAACTTTTAAGAAGACAGTGTGCTTTGACAAATATTTATCGCTCTTGTTTACTTACATATCTATATATTTTAGTTATTACATAATTTTCGACTGATAAAGAATTTTAAGCAGAATTACATTATTTTGCTACTTAAATTAACCTAGCATTTGGATTAGAAACAATCCATATTTGCAAGAGAGCTTCTAAATTAATCCCTAAGTGAACAACGATTAAAAAACGAAAACAAAAAAAAAATAGGATAAGATGAAACAACACATGGCAAAACAACGAAATATCTAAAGCTCAAGATCATAGAGCCAGTGTAGTATACCTATAGGTATGGCTCATGAACTAACCAAAACTATAGTTTCCATAAACTATAACTATAACAACTATAACTTCTTGTAATGTAAATACACATTTTGGCAAATGTTTGGTAGTTAGAAAGATTGATTGTTTGATTTTTACGATTTGTATTTGTCGGAAAAGATCAATATTTTTTAATTAAAAGTAAGTAATTCTTAAAAATAGTTTGTTCATGAACTCACGAAGTTCGTAAAATTCATAGACCCTTGACAATCAGACTATTTAGATGATTCGACAATTTAAAATGTTTACTTTCTAGCTGCTTAATTAATTTTTAAACATTATAGGCTATTCTTAAGTATTAACAAAACAAAAAAAATAAAAGAAGGAAAAGATGAAACAATGATTCACACTTTTTTCAAATGTTTAATTTTTCTAAATAATAAAACAGGAGGAATCTTCCTACTGCTGTTCCTACGGCTCATTTTTATGTTGAAACCAACCCTCTGTTCGCTGTTCTCATTGTCCGCGACTTTCGCGACGTCCTGGTATTAATAATTAAAGTTTAAAACCCACACCTTCGGTTTAGTTCAGTTTATTTCTTTTCGACTCCGCGAACTTGTTTCTGCCGTCTTCCTTTGTTCATTTCCAGGACTTCGCTCTTGAGGTAATCAAATTCGAGGAACACCCTGGAATCGTTAGGTCGTTCCTACGTAAATGCGATTTCCCAAAACAAAAATCAACAACAACCATTATAAGCGAAAAAAACCGACATCAAATTAAGAAAACAAGATTCCCGCGGACACCCACAACTCTTCTGGCAATTACATAACGCCGATCGTGACTATAAATCACGTACGTTTCGCGCGGAATATATAAAACAGTTCCGCAATGATGGCACCGACTCATAATTAAACATGAAGTGGTACCATCGGATAGCGGTGGTCCTGCTGTACGCGCACCTAGGCAGGACGCAGGATCCGGCAGTCCGGCCGGTCGGCGTTGCGTACTTGATAGACGCGGTGTCGCAGGACAGGATTCCGCAGGAGTTTGTTGACGATGACATTAGCAACAATATCCCTGAAGACAGCCAGAAGCCTGGGCACCGTTTATTTCTGATAAGACCTATTCCCATAGATCAAGCCGGCGATGGGGTTTATTTTAGACCAGAGAACGGACTACCCCTAAATCAGCCTCAGGTGAGTTATAGTTGCATCTTCATTAATAACATAACCATATTTTATTAAGGTCTTTTTATTTAAAGCTTCGAGGTCATTCATATGTCTGTAATATACTTGATAGTCGTATACAGTGTGTCGAAAATAAGAATGGTAAATTCAGAGAGGTTGTTGAGAAAAGTAAGTCACCATGACCAAAAAAACGAAAATTTATATTTATATAAATATATATTAAAACAAGATTGCTTTCGCAATCTCAGTCCACAAAGCCGCTACGGCTTCTTGTCCTACAGGGAAGCATCGTTTTTCTATCGTGCTCCTGCGGACCACTATGGAATTTTCGCAAAATCGATGTAATTTTATTGTGCATGCACCATGTATAAAGTGTTTTGCACGTGTCGCGGAACTTCAAAGTTACGGCAAACTTTCTTAAATATCAACATTTTTGCAGGTAATTGCTATTTAATATTTATAATATTTTTTCGATTATCTCGAGTGCCGTGTGTGATAGGCGAAACCTGAAACTCTCTCGACACAGTTAACGATACAGTTTTTCATTTATCGCCAATAATTTACCCACAAAAATGGAAATTTTAGGGAACTTTTAAATTTTCTGCCAATAATCGACACGCCCTGTCTATATTTCAAACAATGTTCAAGAGATTCTAGCACTGGATTTCCCACTTTTCCTGGTATATGAATTTTTTCAATAGGGCGAGAAAATACTCGTTTTCTGAAAGCATGCTGTAAGACGTAATCGTAAATGACGTCATCGCGATTTTTTCAAATTTCTCGAGCAGCGTACGAGAAAATCGAAAATACAGAAATTGTAGCTTTTGACGTGGCCTATAATACTGTTTAAACCAATATGATATATTTTTTACGAATTTTGTTTTACGGCTAATAGTTTACTCTGGAAAAGAACAATTTTCCGGGTCTTTTAAATTTTTGTCGATAAATCAAAAACTCTGTATATAATCAAAGAAACGTTTAAAATAAAAGTTATAGTACTGGATCTTCCACGTCTGTCGGTTAAATAATTTTGCCGTTAGGGTTGAGAGTTTTAGAGAAAATAATTTTTTTGTGGAAAACAAAAAATTCTAAAATAAAAAAAAAATACTTTGCGTTGCTTAATTGCGCCCAACTTTAATAGTTTAAATGTGGGTATGAACTTCTACTTATCTGCCAAATCTGAAGTTGATAGCTGCAAATTTAGGTCACCTAAACGGTTTTCGAGAAACGATTTTTCTTTCAGGACTCTTGCAAACGAGTTTTTATTTTCTTTTAAATACTTGCCGACCCCCCAGCCTCCCCCAATTTCAATAGGCTTCGTTAGAGAATCGAACTCTAATTGTTTTCCATATTTGAAGTCGGACACTTATCGTGTTTCATAGGAATGTCCAAAAACAGTCGAAAAAAAAAGATGGACGCCGGGGTTTGATCGAAATCATTTTTTACTGGCTTATGTCTCGTGGACTGCTTGAAAGGAACCAAATTTAAAGGCTGTATGGCAATCTGTTCGAAAATTATAGCCAATTAATGCCCCGTCTACACAGAAACGGAGAACGGAGAACAGAAAAAAATTGAAAACGTTTTCTTTGGACGCTGATTCCATCTGTACCAATGGCGACGCTGTGCACGCACCGTTTCCGGGATTTAAGTTTCGTTGCCAAGCGCGTATACTTTCGAAAAATTCGCTTTCATCGATTTTTCGAAAGCAATAACTGGCCCTTTCTCTATTCCACTTTTTGAGGTACACAAGATAGCTTAGAGAGGTTTTAGGTGCGACGTTTCTTTCGGCGAAATCATGGACCTTATTTTTTCATAGGGACGGTGAAAAAGCTACACCACGTATTAAATAGCATTTTTTTTTACGAATACAACTATGTGCGACACAATATCATTCTACATTGTTTAAATCGCAGAAAAGGGTGTTTATTTAATTTTCAAAAAAGATTATATGATAGCTAACTAGATAGATTACGCCATAAGTTAATTTATTTGTTTAAAAAGCTAACTTTCAAAGGCTTCTAGAATTAGTCTTCTCAGTTGATCCCCAGTCTCAAAAACTGGCATAATTTTTGCAATATCCTCGTATTAAAAAATCTAGTGGAGTGAGATCCGGCGAAGATCATGTTATCGCTCTTGTGGAATATGCATTTTTCTTTAAATGACTGCAAAGTCTTTTTGAAGAAATCGATTTGCTTATCTACCTTATAATGTAAATAAGGGGCTACAATGTGAGGTTAGATTAGATTAAAATAGGTTACCATGGGAAGCTAAACTTCAATTTGGCCTTTGTTCATTTTTTGTTAGAATAAAGTCGTTATCATTAGTATTATTATTTACTTATTTTCACTGTAATAATTATTTTTTACCAGCGCTTAACAGCGTTGCCTCCAAAAATACGCAAACGCAGGTCCTACGGAACGGGAGGCAGCTACGGAAGCGGCGGTAGCGGAGGTGGTTTCGGGGGCGGTTTCGGTGGCGGTGGTGGCGGAGGTGGAGGTGGAGGCGGCGGTTTTGGAGGCGGATTCGGCGGAGGTTCTGGAGGCGGCCTCGGCGGTGGTTTAGGCGGCCTCGGTGGACTCGGGGGCTTGTTTGGCGGGCTCGGAGGCGGAGGAGGCAAAGGTGGAGGCTTCGGCGGCGGCGCCGGCGGTGGCGGACTGAGCGGAGGTAGTTTCGGCGGTTCCAGTAGCGGCGGATACGGTGGCAGCAGTGGCGGAGGTTAAAATAAATCCTTAAATACCCAATACATACCCTTTCAGTATCTGTTTTCTAGGTCACGCTGGAGGTGGCGGATTAGGTGGAGGTGGTGGACTGGGCGGAGGAGGCGGATTAGGTGGAGGCAGCGGCGGAGGTCTCGGTGGTTCTGGAGGTCACGGAGGAGCAGGAGGTTAGAATAAAATTAACACTATTTGAAAACAACCATTTATTTTTTGGTCTTGCAGGTCACTCTGGAGGTGGTGGTTTTGGAGGCGGAGGCGGACTAGGTGGAAGTAGCGGCGGAGGTCTCGGTGGTGCTGGCAGCCACGGAGGAAGCGGAGGTTAGACAAATATTTTTTGACCCCATTTACAAAATCAACTATTATTTTTTGGTTATTCAGGTCACGCTGGAGGCGGTGGATTAGGTGGAGGTGGGGGCCTAGGTGGCGGCGGAGGGTTGGGAGGCGGAGGTGGTCACGGTGGCTACGGTGGCGGTGACGACGGGTTCGCCACAGGTACAAGACACGTTAAATATATTTTTTAAAGATGTAATTATTGTTATTTTAGGAAGCGTTAATATTATAGGAGGTGGTAACGGTGGCGGCCTAGGAGGCGGACATGGGGGTGGTCTGGGAGGCGGGGGTGGCTTAGGGGGAGGTTCGGGAGGTTTCGGAGGAAGCGGAGGAGGATTTGGCGGTTCTGGCGGTTACGGCGGCTCTAGCGGTGGCGGTCTCGGAAGCGGTGAGGCGTTAAGAATTTTTAATGTACTATGAGATGCGTAATAAATTTTATAGGTGGTTTTGGAGGAGGCAAAGGCGGTGGAGGAGGAGGAGGTCTTGGAGGCGGCGGCGGGGGAGTTCTCGGAGGCGGCGGATTCGGCGGCCACGGAGGTGGAGGTATAGAAAATCTTTAATTCTAGTGGCCCGAACACAGCGTGCTCGAATTTTCCAGGTTCCGGAGGATACGGCGGAGGAAGCTCCGGCGGGGGAGGTTTCGGAGGTGGCGGTCACGGCGGATACGGCGGCGGCAGTCACGGGGGTTTCGGCGGCGGACCGGGCGGAGGTTGCGGTGGTGGTTGCGGGGGCGGTGGAGGCGGAGCTAGCGCGCACGCGTCCGCCTCGGCGTCGGCGTCCGCCAAAGCGGGAAGCTAGTAAGTTACTTCGGGTGCCCGTTGACTGCATCTTGTAACATTTCCTTTTATTTATTTTTCAGCGGGAAGTAAACTTATTGTGATGTAATTTTTTTAAGCAGTGTAAATAAATTTTTTTAAACACGTCCCTGATTTTCATGGCGGCCAATAAACCCCCCGTAATGTACCCGGATACTTTGCTACTCCAATCGAACGTATCGGCCCTTAACTTTTCCAATATGTACGCCAAGAAGTGGCTTTCAAAACTTTTGTTAGACGTCCGGGCGCGCGCGCGCGTGTGTGTGTTTCGAATATTTCGTTTCCAGAGGAAAGAAAATTTTTACCTTCGGAAAAGTTTCGCCGCCGTATGAATTTTAAATTTCTCCGGCATCGGCGGGCAGGACAAATATGTACATTCCGCTGGCATAATATTAAAACTGCTCCGACAACGGAAAAAGAAAAATTCCCAATTGGTTCCTGTTGTACTTTTTTTATTAGAAATCCGAAAAGTATTTCGTGTATAATGTCGTATAATGTTTTACTTTTCTTTGCTAAAAATGGAAATATAAGCGATAGTATATATGAGCATAACACCAATTTTTCAAAATTCTGCCTGCATAATTTTCAGACTTTGAAAGTACTTTATACTGCCTTTTTTCGCACCTTGCATGCACAAAGATGTAATTTATGTGTTGTCACCCACCTACAGCATTTTGTAAAATGGCTAACTAAAAATTTTTTATTTTCTTTTGAAGATATCAATGAAAGTAAGGTTACCAACTTTTTTTTGTCCATAAAGAGTACATTTTGCAGGTGAAAAAAAAAACAAGAAAAAACGATAAAAACTTTAATTTTCGTTTAAAAAGATACATTTCTCATTTTGCTAAATGAGGAGGTTCGTCTAATAATGTAACCACTTCCGAATAACTTTCATTTTGGATATTAAATTTTACTGTTAAGACGGCAGATAATATTATTCCAGAAAGTTGCTAATCACTGTTTTAGTAATCATTCCCTACTGAAAATACCCTTTTAACAGCAGCATTAGTGCCTGGACAACATAAGGAAATTTCTATTAAAACTTTGAAATTACCATTCAATTTTTCTATTTAGAAGGGTTCTTTTGAAACAATGTAATGCTCTAGAATTCACTGTCCATTCTTCGATATATTCGTATTTTCCAAAACGGTCAGTTTAGAAAATTAGTGGTTAGAGAATTAGTGGTAAAAATCCATAGTTTAATCTTGATTTACTAAATTTTAATCGTTTAATATAATACAATACTTGTGGTGCTGAAATTTTTTCTGCTTCAATTTGCAGAGTAATTTTATGAAACAACGACGCCTGCCTGTAAATAAAATAAAGCATAAGTTCTAACATATCGTTTTGAAAGAATTTTAGGACATTTGTCAAGGCTTCAAAAATATTGACTTAATGGATCATATAATTGCAAAAGGCTTTCTAATGCTGTAGTGAAAGCAAGCCATCTGACTTTGGAATAACCAAGCAGTTTTTTGTATTGCCTCTTCACAAAATTCTTTCTAAATTACTACCCGTACTGTAAACTTATTGAAATATATATATATATATATATATATATATATATATATATATATATATATATATATATATATATATATATATATATATATATATATATATATATATATATATATATATATATATTCACGTATTGATCCACGGATGGAAAAATGTGATGACACTATATTCCGGGATATCATGCGTTCGCTTGTTGAACTCCGACTGGAATCCTGCAGACGTTTCGCCAAAATCTCACTTGGCATCTTCAATGCTCGCGCTCCGAAAACACTTCGAACACTGGGAGGTTAATTAGAGGACGTAAGCTAGAACACATCACTTCTACAGACATACCATCATGTTTTTCCTCATAAATAAATATATATATATATATATATATATATATATATATATATATATATATATATATATATATATATATATATATATATATATATATATATACACATATATATATATATATATATATATATATATATATATATATATATATATATATATATATATATATATATATATATATATATATATATATATATATATATATATATATATATATATATATATATATATATATATAAAATATAATACGGCCTCCCAATTGGGCCGGAAAAGGCAGGCATATGCGAGCGTGAAATTCAAATCACTGTCAAACTGCTGGCTGGAGTTTGCACGCTCTGACGTGCTTTGTCAAAATAATTTTTAATATTTAATTAATGAAATAAAAATTTAGTAATCTAAAAAAATGTTTTAGAAATACGGATGAGTATAAAATTATACAAATGAGTACTTTCAGAGTACAGGATTTGAAAATAATACTTTAATAAAAGCAAATGATTGTCGTAAAGATAAAAAATATAAAAACTTAACTTTTTTTAAATAGCAAATACTCAGGCAACGAGGTCCTAGAAATAAAAAAAAGTCAATCGTCCAAGAGAAAATCCTGGTATTATTGGCGAGTTTCTGAAATGTCTACCAGGAGGCGTAACTTTAATTTTCAAACTAGGTTTCAACAAAAATTGTTAATGCTAACCATGGTTATATGAGTACTATTTTAAAGCTGAGACAAATTCAAATCTTTTTTTAATGCTGTTTGATCTATCTCTGCAAGGAAAGTGGTGGGGACTGTTTTAACATTTTCTTAAATAAATGTACATATCTCCAAAAAAGCTTAACGCATTTTAATAACCTTTGAGTCATTCAGAAATTGCTTGTCAATAGCTGACACTGTCCGTCATAAGAAAAGAAATAATTTTCTGAAAAAAGAATAACTGTTATTATAGGATTTCTTTATGTCATTGGATCGGCAAAGGGTCCAACAACCCAGTGAGAACCGCAGCTCAATATCTTTATTCTAAGCTATATAAATAAAAGAATTTAACGTTAAAAAATAAATTTGGATTATTGGAAAATTTCCCACTTTAAGGGTTATTGTTTATGTCCAATTATCTCTAATTTATCAAATAAATCGCTAATTTATTATTTAGGATGCTACATGATATTGAAAATCAAAATAAAATGTTCTTATTAATCTTATTATTTACTCCGTTTTGAAGTTTCCAGTTTTGGACCTAATCACCAACTCGATCACTAACCAATTGATGAAGAAACTAATGAGTAAGACATCTCTCTTGACACAAACATTCATTTCTAGTTTAAATTTGTTAAATGTTTATGTACATGTTCATATCGTAATCTAGTGCTAGAAGACACTCAGGGACTACAAAAAATTTTATTTGGATATTAAATATGATTTGGTCTTCAATAAACCAGTGCGTTATTTAGTAAAAAATGGATAAAATGGGTTGTTGGGAGCTTCTTTAGCATTTAAAAAAGTCATATCCTCGCAATCCTCAGATTTTTTTGCGAATATGTCGCCGGGCGTTAAGGTAACCAGCCATTATTTGCTACTACAGTGATAGATTGAACAGCATCAAAGAAGTTGTGTCATTTTAACTATTGTTAATATCAGAAATTTTTGTAAACACCTAATTTTAAAATTCAATTACTGCTCTTGTGGTCATTTCAGAAATTCGAAAATAACACTTTACCTCTTTGATTATACTGGAACACCCTGTATAGGCAAATTATTTCTTGTTTTTGATTTTCGGAATAATAATATTCGGAATATTAATAAGTTATACCGGCACTATTAATATCGGTAAAAAAGATATACGCAAGTCATTAACTATCTGTTTTTGAAATCGGGTGACAATCGACTTCAATCTTGGATAAAAATATACAGGGTGTTCCATTTAAAAACATTGAAATTATTTTCTTACGTTTGGTTTTGTTTCTATTGTTTAGTATTTATAAAAATTTTATGTAAAACGTTCTTGAAAATCTCTTTCAATAAATTCTGCGTTTTTTTTATGTCGTTGAATTCTTTTTTCGGAAACATTAGCAGTGGCGCAAATTTATATTTTTAACAAAACACCACCGGACTATGCGAATGCCATCGTCACTATAATAATTTCGATACAAGTTTTATCAGGAAATATGTTTCAATCGATATAGCACGAAAATAAACATTTCGTTAAATGTTTTCAATTATACCGGGTACTTGATAAAAGCGGCACATTACAAAAATGAAACGCTCCAGATATTCTTACAAAAATTTGTTGCGAAAAAATTGAAAGTTTGGAACCAACATTGATTAATTCTGTCTTTTATTTGCGAAAAATAAGCTGTTAAAGGATATTCGTTAATTACTCTAAATTAATTAAAGATACATCTCGAAATACTGAACAAACTGTTATGCTAATAATAATAAAGCTTCTCTCAAATTTCGGCCATATTTGATTACCCAAATCTTCATCTTGCTTCTTATGTCTTCCGTTGTTGCAGACTGGAGGTTTACTTTTACATCATTTTTATTCTTTTTTTATCGGTTGAAGCTAAATAAGAAAAAGCAAATTTGTTACTTACTAACAACAAATGCGAATTTCTGAGCAAGCAGCGTATTAATGTCATTTAAAATGTAAATGTGGCACCGATTGATATTAGAAAACCTTAACGGAAGTGGTATAATTATTTCTAAGGCAGCAGATGGACAAATAGGAGTTCATGGGAAAACATTTTATTTTTATTTTCTCTTTTCCCAACAAATTACATTCCTTTTGAAGAAATATATTTTTATAATTGCCACGCTCTCGTGAAACACAATGCATAATGGATAATGTTTTTAAAATTTATATCATTTGATTTTATAGAACACATTTTAGGACGTCTATTCAAAATTGTGATAAATAAGAGCGCTACAGGCCTTTAAAACACTTGAGCGCCAAGAAGGTAGGTTAGGAACTGATTTTAAATGACTCCTCACACAGAATAGAAAAAAAGTTCCCAACAGTCCAATTTTGCCATTTTCATTTCCTTGCTTGTTTAATTGAGTACCCTGTAAGTAGATAAGCTGCGACGGTTCAGTAACAATTCCCGCCGTTTTTGCTTTAATACAATAAGGTCGATATTAGAGAATCTTGTACCTTTCAAGCTCATCTGTTTAATAATCATTTAGCTGAAGATTTGACGTGCCGCTCTATCACCGAGTTAACGTCTCTCGTTAAATTTATCACCAATAAGCCGCA